TTTAATGTAGTTACTATTTTTAAAGTTACTAATAAAGATATGAGCAAGGCCTCACCTTAATACCAAAAAAAAAAATAAAATAAAATTAGATTAAATAAAATTTTAAAAAAAATTAAAAATTTTTTGAAACATATTTTTTAGAGATTTTTTAGTATTAGGAGTAAAGTTTAGAGTTATATTATTAACAAATAATTATATATAAATTTTATAAATATTAAAAGTAAACAAAAAAATTTCTGTTTTATTTTATTTTTATTTTTTTTTTATTTTTATTTTTTTTTGAATTTGCTATATATATGATAAGATTAGTTACAGATTTGTATCAAGATAATATTAATTTTGAATTATCTATTATATCCTGTATAACTACCTAAGTGTAACAAAACACCTCTTGATTTTCTATTTATAAACTAATTTAAGACTAGCTACCATTAGTTATAGGAGGGAAAGAGAAAGCCCAATTCTGTTTTAATTTAATTTAATTTTATTTTAATTTGCAATATTTAATTTAAAAGAATTTATAGGCATCTTTTATGGGAAATATATCTTTCAAAATTCTTGAAAGTCTATTTACATTAGAATAGTATTAGATTAAAATTAGAGGTAAATAAAATATGTAATAAATTTGCTTAAGAAAAACTTTTTATTAGAGCACAAAAAAAGGTTTTTTATGTGTTTTCTTGAAAAATAAACAATTTTTCTTTGAATGAATATTTGTTTTAAATTTTCTCAATCGTGTTATATTATACTAAATTGTGGCTCACTATTGGCAGAAGATATATATCTCCCTATGGAGATATATATCTCTCACAAAAGATGTCTAGAAGTACTCTTAATTTAAATATGCCTGTTTTTTATTTTTATTTTTTATTTAATTTAAATATAATTATTTATTTTTTTATTTACTTTAAATAAAATTATTTTAAATAAATATAGTTATATTGCATACTATAATTTTTTAATTTAAATAAATTATTTTATTTTATTTAACTATTTATAGATTTAATTTATTTTGATATTATATATAATAGGCTGTTTTTCTAAACCAAATCTTAAATATTGTCTAACTAATTCAAGAGGTTAAGTTAAAAGTACAAGAAATTAAAATTTTGAAGATAGTTTAGCAAAAATATTAAAGCTATATGATATATTTGCCATATAAATAAAAATATATACGTAGCAACTATATAAATACTATATGCTATATATACTATATAAGATTTGGGACTTGGGATTGGGATTTGTCCAGTTTTGACATATGGGATTTTTAGGTATAATTGGACAATCCCATTTTTCCAGGTTTGTCTATGGAAAAATCCCAAATCCCAAACGTTTGTCCAGCATGTATAGTTATACCCCGTGATTTTCCGTAAAAATATGAGTTTCTTATTAAATCATTTTAAGTATTGTAATATATATATAATTTATATGATTTGATGCCAAGTAGTATGTACTATAATGACCAAGCATTAAATTTGAAAATTTTATAAATATTTCTAATATAAGGCCACACAAATTTAATGTCTTGGTTTTCATAACATGAAACTTTTAAGCAGACCCGGCCGGCTAGGTTTTTTTTTAAATTTCATATATTAAAATTTTATAAATTTTTTTTAAAAACCCACCCGGTTATTAAAACAAAAAATTTTTTTTTACAAGTTTTCAAATTTTGATCCGAATTAATTTTACATAACCTAAATTATAATAGGACTGGGTGAAACCCGCGCTATAAATTAATAAAATCCACTACGTACGTAGATCACATTAGGGTGAAATCCGCGTTTAGCTATGTTTTTTATTATGCAAAAGCGAATTTCTACGTAGCGGATTTTACTAATTCACAACGCGGGTTTCACCCTGTCGTATTATAATTAAATTTTAATTTGCTAAAACTAAAAATTTATTTTATTTTATTTTTTTTAAATACTTAAAATCCAATAATTAAAATTAAAATTTTTTTGTTAGATACATTTAGGTTAATTTTACAACACGTTGGAACCGTTTAACCATTTAAAAATTGTCCATAATTCCGGGCAGAATTATGTTGGTCGTAGGCCGGAATTATCTTAATGCTGGCCAACGGTTAAACGATTAAACGATTAAGAAAAATTTTAGGCGGTTCCAATCCCTAACGTTGACATGCTACACGTTGACGTATTATCTCGAGCTTTCGAAATTAATACATTTTATTAAGAATTTTTATTTAAAAAAAATTCAAAATATTAAAAATAATTACGAAAAACTTTTTTGATTTTAAATTTTGGGTTTATTCTCTAATTGTATCTAATTGTATTTAACAATATATATAGTAGTTAGCAAGCACATAACCAATAAAACCACTAATCATGAGATCAGCTTAAAAAAATTTTTTTAATAAGATTTTGCTACGTAAAACGTGTAATTTATAATCTCTGCACTAAATGTCAAAAATCCTATCTGCGAGCACAAAAATACCAAAAAAGACTATGACACCGATTAGAAATACAAAGTGCCAGGCATAAAAATGCCGGGATGCAGACTCCGGATTTTGAATTAATCTTAATTCCTAATCATAAAATTTTTCGAGGTTCTTTTGGGGTAGTTTATGATTTAATTACATTGATCAGTGATTTTGGGTTTTTAATTTAGGCCCAATTCCAAAATGCGCCCGAATAAGAGCCATTATTGTTGAGCGAAGATATGTTGACAACCACCTAACCAAAATCGATAAAATTATACAAATTATACAATTCTATAGAACCCAAATAAAAATATTTACTGATTTAAATAAGTTTTCAAGATATCTTCGCCAAAAAAATTACATTTTGATTGTCAATTCGCTAATCAAAATCAGATGTTCAAGTAGAACTCCACGTGAGCATCACCTTTTCGTGGGTGGTCCCATCCGGGTTATCACACTTCAACAAATCATTTGATGATAATACATAATTCATTTAAAGACACACGTAAACACTTCATACATAAATAAAAAAAAAATTATTTAATAAAACCATTTAGGATTGTTCATTATATAATTGTATATCGCCGCAACCTTTTTTTTTTTTTTTTTTTTTTGCACGGTAAAATATCCTAAAAACATATGAATAAAAATTGTTTAATTGAACAATTACTTCGGTTTCAACAATTTGAAAAGGTAGAATTATTACAAAGAAATTTTTTTTAAATTTTTAACGAAAAAGTACATTATCCCCTAATATAGATCGCTTTTTCACCCCCTACTCTTCCCGCACGTCCTGTTTTGTCAACATGGTCAAGGCCTAGATAGTCATCTGCCCATTTATGTTCCGATAGAATAACATCTATTTATATTCATTAATTTGCATGATATTTATAAGCAATTTAATTATTTTAAAGATAAACAGTTAAAAAGCGAGTATACATACTATCATCGTCTATATATTGAGGTTTGGCATACGATACAGCTTGCACAATTGCAACTTTCACCTTCGAGAAATCTTTTTCGTTCATTCCTAAGCGTGATTGAAGGCGCAACTTCGTCGCAGAGAATGTTTCACCCTGATTGTATAAACGTAAAAACAGTATAAATGCAAGTAATTATATAAAAAATGATATTCAAAAATACTAACAGCCTTAATAACAAATTTGAATGGGATTCCATGCGCGCGTAACGGTTCCTTAGTAAAATGATATACTTGAACAACTTTATCATTATCACTTCGATCGTTTTCTTCCTGTGGTATTTCCTAAATATGAAATGTTTTCAAAAAATCATGGTTACACAATAAGCATTCAAAGGTCAAACAAATGAGTGAAGAACAAACCTCTGCATATAACGTCGTCATTTGTTCCTGTATTTTATCTATTGGATCATTGATATCATATTCTTTTTGGATCTTGTTATGTAAAACATCATATAATCTAATTCTGTTGGTAGGTCCTTGTAATGATAGTTTTTGTAAAATTACTTCCAAAACTTCATTAACTACGGCAGTCTTTGGAAGACGAATATCGATTCCATCCTTTAAAACCTTTTAAAAAAAAAAAGATAATTAGTAAATTGGATAATATATAAACCTGAATATTATAATATTCTTTTACCTCTTCCTTAACAGTTGTCCCAAGCCAGTATACTTTAAAGAACTTCTTAGTTTCTAATTCCACAATACTAATATCAAGCATCTCATAATACAAAAGATTCGCTGAGTTAGGCAGATAGGTTGTCTGAAGCATCTCTGACAGTGTTTGGTTGGTCACCCTCTTAATTACACTTTTGTATGAACCGGACGTTGGATGTGCTGTTGTAAACCGTAATTTCAAAGGATCCGTACTTAAATGAGCAGCAACTCGTTTAGCGACCTACATGAAGATATAGAAGACATTAGTTAAATAATTTATTAAATTCATATCGGGCATTATGGTACGACATTTTGGCGAATTTCTATATCAACAGAAAATCGTTAAAACATCATACTTCACTATAATACCTCTTCATTTTATTATTCGTAATAAATGTAAAAAACATTTAAACGTACTTCATCATATGTGTACTTCTTATTTAAAACCAACTCAAATTCTGGTTTTTGTTCCCGGTCTTTATGTTTTGGTTTAAATTGAACGACAATACGCATAGATAATGACTCATAGAATGTAGGAATATCACGAATGCGACCTGCAGCAGTATGTTCTTGTGCTCTAAATCGAGGGAAAAAATCGGCTTATAAAAAAATTAATTAAAAAGAAAAACAAGATCGGTTAATAAGTAACTTACTCTTTTTCTGTTAAAGCCTTTTGGAAGCAAATTATATCACCGTCTTGTATCTCGGATTGTTGAAAAGTCAATTTTGGTTTCATCTCTTCAATCATGTTTGGTTTTATCTCCTATATTTGATTAAATAAATAGACCATTACTATTTACATAACAAAGACACATATATACGCAAAATACATCTTACCTCGTATATTCTCAATGGTGTGTGTAGTGGAAGTTCCTTTTTCTCGCAAAGAATTGGAATAATATCACCAACTTTACCAAACTTTTGAATATATAAATGACACAGTCCTCTGTTTACATAAACGTATAGATTAAATTTCGGTTCAAACGAATAAAAAACCCCCCCCCCCCCCGAATTTAAATCACATACTCTAGAGATTGTGTATCGGGATTAAAGTATTTGACGAAAACCATTATATGAGAGTTTCCTTCCGTTGTTGGGAACCATGTCTACATATTAAATAAACAATTGAAAATAAATATCTAATAATATATACAATATACTATAAATACTGAGTACTACTTTGCCGTTAATTGGTTTATCTGCCATTTCCAAAAATAATTTCAGTTCATTTTGTCTTGAAGCCATTTTCGTGTGAATTTCTTCCATTGCTATTTATCACAAAAATCAATAAAAAGTTTATTATGAATGAAGAGAAAAGAGCTACATTTTTGGCTTACTCATGCCATGAAAATGGTCTGGTATTGGAGTATCTGGCCTAACAGTCTTATTTTGGCGATTTACAAGGACCCAGAACCTCATTTGCTCAGCTGCAATCCCAAAATGATGAGCGACTCGTGCTTTGAAAATCCCATATGTATCACTTTTCAAAATCTTAAATTGTGGAATCTCGGATAGCGGATATTGTCGATCGTCAAAATTAGCGAGATCAAACCCTTGATGGCGCGCAAAGGTACTTAAAGTCACGATCTAATAGTGAGTTGAAAGTAAAAGTTTAAACTGAAACGAATAATCAAAATTTATTATTAATCCTCATATAATGTTGCCGCGTAATTACCTTTGTATTCAAATATAAATGACGTTCCTCAGCTTCCTTTTTTCTCTGTTCCTGTAAAGCTCTCTCTTCATCTAAGCGTCTTTCTATTAAATATGTATGTGAAAGATAAATTCACACTACAATTTCAAATTACGCTTCATAAACGAGAACACTTACGTAAATGTTCTGGTATATCTGTGTTAACTATTGGAGATAGTACCCAGTCGATATCAGATTCACGGATGTAAACCAACATATATGCATTCGTAAATCGTTTAATATTTCTACCACCGGTTCGAATTGCAGGTGAGAGACTTGCATTAGAAACTTCACCCCCGTAATTATCTTCAAGTACCTCTTTATCTGTTACAGGTGTAATTCTATCATCATCAAATTTTAACCTGTTATAATGATTAATTTTAATTGTCTACTGGCTATATTATCAATAATTAGATTTAAAAAAATTAAAATTGGCAAACCATTTTCCATTTCTGTTGGGTTTTAATAAAGCAAAATAATGGCCGCCATGTAAATCGCCGCTGTGAACAAGAACTCTTGTATAATAAAAAGACATGTACATTAATTTATTAAGCAAAATCGTATTTAATAATACATGCGGAATCATTTGATACAAACCCGTGAAGTAAATATTTATAAGGTTGTGATTTATCTGCGTCTGGTGATAAATATCTTTGTAAATCAATTTCCATCGGAAACTCATAACGATCATTTATCTTTTATGAAAAATACATATTTTGATCAACTAATTGAAAAATAGTGCTCATAACAAAATTAAATAAGTATAGGTACCTTAACCGTGGTGTCTCTTTGCATATCGTATTCAAACCGTTTTAACTGCAAGTGAAGCACCGGAGGGAAACATTCAAAAATTACTCCTTTCTTTGCATCCTATAGGCAATTGGAATTAACATACTTGCACTAAATGAAGTAATTTTAACTATGCGTATTCTACACCTAGTTGTCAATGTCGACGTAACTATAAATCTACTTACTTGTAAGCCATAACCTTCAGCATGGTACTTATTTTCTCCTTCCAAAGTCTCTTCTTGTATATATTCCATGAAAGAATCATCCAAAGTCTTGCACCCCTTTACGTTAAGTTGAATATCTACCGCAATATAATTAAATGTTATTTCAAATCTAATCTAAAAAACATATTAACCTATTTACAAAATAGATTGCTACCATAGTAATCTTCGACACGGGAAGACTCATAGTCTACACTGACGCATTTAACATAGCTCTTCATCTTGCCACCAAAGAGCTTAGAAATAGCACCATCTGCTCCTGTATTCTGAATCGAGCAAAAATGCCCGTTATAATTTACATTAAGAAAGGTTTGGATTAGTTAAAATTCGTCCAATTCAACTAATGATAAAACCCACCTTCATTTTACCCTCTAAGTTGTCTTGTAACACTCTGTTAAACTCTTGTACATCATGCTGCATAAATGATTCTAACGAATCCCATCCGAAAGATCTCGTCAATTCCGTTGTTCCAACCGGAGTATCTGACGTCTGTAATTGATAGAAAACTCGTTGTAGTGCTAAGGAAATACTTTTGGCCGGATCGTCGTCTTCGGTAGGAATTTGATAAACCGCCTATAAACATATACGTATACGCGTGGATGTACGTTATTAAATGTAGATAGATGTTAGAAAGTTTTGAACTAAAATAAAATAATAATGATGAAATATCGTGCACTAACCTTACGGAAGTGTGTCGTGCAGTAAAGTGATTGTAGTAACGAGTTCATATAACATGTAGCACCTTGATTCTTCAGGCCCACATATCCAGTTTCCTTCTTTGAATCATAACTATATGAAGAGGTTAAACACAACGCCAGAAATATTGAAGGCCATAACAAAGAATATTTGCGGATTAAGGTTCGAATGATATAAAGAAAGTAAGTAAAATACTTGATGAAATTATGCCACAAAACGCCTGTAGGATCCTTCAAAACTCGAACAAACGCCGTGATGTTGCAACAGTCATTTTCGATTAATGGGCGCATTCGATTATCGGACGGATTGAATAGTTTACGAAGATCATAAAACCGTGTAAAACCCCAATCTGATTCCTCAGCAGTGAATCGATGATGTGCACCTATGTGCAAAAAAAATTTTTTAATATATTCGAAATCAAAGTAGAAACATAGGAGGATGAATTGTAAATTTCAACAATCAATTGACATGATGATCTAAACACGGATTACGTACTATGATTAATATAGAGAGTTGGGTCATGGGGATTCCACAAAACCAAAGCGAACTGTACACACGAGTGCCAACCAGCTTGTGCTCCTTTTGGATCGGCAAAATCTAGATAAATGGATACCGTATCCGAATTGTTGTTTCCGGAAGGAAAAAGCAAAATACGCCTGAATTTTCAAGCAAAATATTTCTATCGTTAGTTTTTATCGTTAGCTTAGTGAAAGAAAAAATGAGAATACGTAAGACTGCACCTACCATTTCCAACCTCCTGCTTCAAATTCGGGGCCCGTTATCCTTTTCTCTAAACTTCGCCAGTTATTGATGTGCCATGTGTGGTGCTGGAAATCTTCTATCTCATAACCAGGATCGGGCATAATTTTGTTTGCCATAGCATCATCTATGAAAAGGATATAAGTTAAACACTTTAAATATCACAGAATAATATTGATCTTGTTTTTTTTTTTATTAAAAAAAAAAAAGGTAAAACACGCGAGTAATGTTTTATAGGAAGCTTGTTACGCCTCAGAATGGTGCAAGCCTCTTAAATCAAGCAGAAAAACATACAATCAGTTACAGCCAAAGGTGTAGTTTCTTCGACGTCAGACATAGGCCTATCTCCATCGATAAGTGTTGCTGATTCACCAGACATATCCATATTTTCATCCTAAAATATCAATAAGCGTGAAAATATTGACATTAATATTAGTGACTAAATCTTTATTTTTAAGCATAAAATTACAAGGTCATTATCACAATTGAACAAAGGAGCGGGTATAAAACGATCCAAAAAGTCCATTTGAACTACCAGCTTTGAAAAAAAAAATAAGCTATGCGATAAAGCCTAAGAGCATGAAAGTTGTACCCATAACCTGTGCTCGACTAAAAAAAAAAAAAAGCCCCAAAATGTAAAAATATGTAATATAAAGTACCATGCTGAAGTCTGCGGGTATTAATCTTGTGAGGTAAGATAAAGCTACTAAAAAGCAGACGAGCAGGAAGGGTTGTAAAAAAATCTCGGGGATTATGAAGTCAATGTTGATCGATTTGTTTTTGGTGAAAAAAAGATAATGTATTGGATTCTTAAAGATTGAAAATCAAAAAATCGTAAAGACTTATGACACCATGGAACAGTGAGAATCGTTAAAGTTACCGATTTGCACCTTAAGTATAAATTGCTGCTCTTTTACTCTAGTACTAAGGTAAGAAGTAAAACTACAGAGAACGTTCACGCAAGCTATTCACCTGAGTATAATCACTGTGTGTCACGTACGTACGTACGTACGTACAGTACGTAACTACCCCCAAGAACACCCCGAAGAATTCTACGCAACAGCCAATCAGATTGCAAGATCAAATGTAACACAAAAATCGGAAAGTTCATATAACCGAGGTTACTTTCTTAAATTTCACATATAAAAAAATATGATTTCGTTACGGTCAACATCAGCCAATAAGGCCTCGAATATGTAATGTGACCAATTAAATAGATCATGAAACCCCTGAAATTGCATAAGTCTGGAAATTAATTGGCTGAAGCCGAGGGAAGCCTTACTCTACTGAATTTTAGAAGTGTCCGGCTCACGGTTCAACTAATCCTAATTCAGGTTCAGGTTCAATATCCAGAAATTAAAGAGTCCAAAATTCATGGGAAATTGTTATCTACAATTTTTACAATTTTTTAATTTCGTTGATAATTATGGTCTTTAGCCCGGAACTTTCGTAGCTGATCTTGGTGTATTTCATTACGGCGAATTTATGAAATTAAGCTAAAATTCGGCCACTAAATCTAAATTTTAGTTACCAAATGACATATAAATAAACCCCCGAAAAGTTTTTTGGACCTCTGATCTTGATTGATAATGCGTCTAATCCATCTTCCCCACCTCATTCCCACCTCATTAGACATATAAATTTATTATAATGACGCACCTTCACTCGGGGATAGTAGTTATTTCGGTAAAAAATCATTATTGTTTACTTAGTGGTCAAAATTTTCAAATTTTGGGGTATTTCATAAATTCGCCGTGTTGTTTGACTTAAAATCGAACCCAAATTAGATTGATTTTGACCAATCAAAATTTAAGACCAGGTGTCAAAAACGTGTTTTGTTTTCTAAGTAAAAAAAGTTACGTGTAAAATGAAAACCAAGAAACCGTGTTATGGTTAGAAATATAACAATATAATGCTTATTAGTAAAACATCACGAGGAACATTATTAATTAGACCGCAGAATGTGGTTTCCTAATTAAACTTTAGAGTTATTGTGTTTGTTGTAAAAAAGTAGTTTGCTTCAAAGGTTGGAACCGGGTTGAAAAATTCGAATTTATCACATCAAAATTCGAGTTTATCACATCCGAATTCGAGTTTATCACATCGATTATTAATAATCGATCGACTTCGGGTGTGATAATATCGAATTTTGATGTGTTAAGTTCGAATTTTTCAAACCGGTTCCAACCTCTAGTTCTAGTATTTACATCGTTTTGATATCGATATACACAATTATGTACAGTTTAAAGCTCGACACAGTGAAGTCCACATTCTGACCTAATGCCTTTGTTATATAGAAATATTTGGTTATTTCAAAATATTCACAATGCGTTGACTAGAGGTTGGAACCGGTTTGAAAAATTCAAATTTATCATCAAAATTCGAGTTTATTACACCCGAAGTCGATATTATCACATTGATTATTAATAATCGAATTCGGATGTGATAACTTGAATTTTGATGTGATAAATTCGAAATTTTCAAACTGGTTCCAACCTCTAGTGTTGACTGTATACCAGTGATGTTCACTGAAATGTTCTAGTAAGAACTGTAAGGTTACTGGACTTAATTGGAAAAAATCTGCTTCCAGTAATCAGATGTCACTGAACTGGGGTAGCTGATAAAAAACGATCTACAGTAAAACTTCGTAATAGTCACATCCGCATTTGTTACAATCCCGCTATAGTCACCTTGATTCTTTAATCAACCATATATATCATATATAAATTCTTGCTCGCTTTATTTAGAACGTGACTATTGCAGAAGTTTACTGTACAAAATTGATAAAAAATAAATCATTTGTGTTAATTGATATAAATTAGAAATATATCGACAAAAAAAATAAGAATGGACTCATTTACCAACATACATATTGTGTTTATTAATAATAAATACTGTATAAATTGCCGATTTTCTAGAACACAATTCGTGTCCATAATTTACAGTTTGTTATCAACATTGTGATAGATTAATTACTTATAACTTCGGTTGATAAAGTGTAATATAAAGTTGTGGGATAAAAAAGGATTAAGCAAATATGTTGTAAGCCAAGAAGAGAACTTCAAGTTTATCTTATAATTTGTTACATTTGATAGAAAAAATAATCTTTCTGAGCTTTTAATAAAAGTATTGTAAATCACTAGCATGTAACCTTGCCTCTGGCACGGGATAGTATATAGTTTATTAATTATAAAGTTTGATTAGTTATTAATTTTGAATTATTTATTCAAAAATAGTTTTTATATATTTTTAAAGAAGATATGTATTAGACAAGGTTTTATCAAATTAGTGAAGTATAGCAATAGGCAAATTGTAGTTTTTTAAAATTTTATGTGGAAGTTGTAAAATAAAGAATTAATTAAAATGTTTTAATTGGTAAAGATTGGATTGAGTGATTATAGTTAATTGGTATATCATCAGCAAAAAAAATATATAAAATCTTTCAAAAAAATTTTATACTAAAAATCTTTTGAAAAAATTGCAATTGATACAAAATATTTTAAAATTTTTAATTTTAAAATATTTGAAAAAAAATTCAAAATATTGCAAAAGAAATTGCAAAAAATAGCAAAATAGACAAATAAATAAATATCAATTTTTTTTGCAATATTTTGCAATATTTCGTTATTTTCACAATATTTCAAAATATAATACAAATATAAATAAACAATATATGTATTTGTATAATCAAGCTTTTTGCAATATTTGAAAGTTTTTACAGGTTTTTGCAAATTTTGCAAGATTTTGCAATTTTTTATTTTTTTTTTCACTTAGGCAAGATCGCACCAGTAATCTATATTTATTCAAATTATTATCTCATGAAAGATTTAAATAATAAAACTTCAGCTCTGACATCCTACAGCAACTGCAACATAACTAAAGACTACCCAAGCACCCATAAACAACCCGCTATACTAGCAAGATATAAAATAATACTCTAACTGGAGAGCTCATCTGACTATTGCTCTACAATAGAATATTGCCAATCTGATAACATCTTTTCATAAAGAAGTAAAAAAAAAAAATTTTTTTTAAAGAAATACAGAGGTATAAAGGGATATATTAAAAAAATATACAAACAAGAAATGAATAAATAAGGAGAAAATAAAAAAACTAAACTAAATACAAGATTTTTTACCTGCACAGGATGGTCACAATTATAAGTCTGTGTCAGGCTCTATAAAAATTATATACTACAATCTAAACTAGTTTCTACTCTAATCTACATATATAGTATATCTAAAATAAGAAAAAAACACTGCAACAAGGTAAAAAAAATTAGCTTCTTCGACGTCAGCACCATAAAAAGGTCAGAAAGGTCAAAAAATTCGCACCAGAGGTCTCAAATCATTGATTGTCCAGGTTGTCACATTAGAGACATGTAATCTATATATCTAGTTCCATATATATTCACGTATTTGTTGTGACAGATAAAAATGTAAATAATATGACCAATTTGGTAAGTAAATAATACATCGATCTTTTGAAGAAGGTAAGCTAAATCATCCACTTTTTTACAAAATTTTTTCTTGAAAAAAAGTGAAGAGATAATGAAAGTATATGAGGTTCTTCTGTAAGTTTTACAGTTGTATAGGCAATTCTTCAAGCTTTTACTATCTCAGCAAGAGTCTTTTGACTACTACTTGTTCTCAGAATAAACCTTTTGGTTTGGATGCTGAATAACTTAGAGAGTTCGTTTGATAAATTAGCAAAAAAAACTTGACTTTAAGAAAAACTATCCAAGTTATGCCCGCTTCTTAGTATATCACGTCTTTTGAACTTCATCAAAAACAACCTGCATAAAGATAAAAACAGTTTCTAAAATACTCTTTTGGTTTGGATATCAAATAACTTAAGAAGTGCATACAAAAAGGAAAAGGTTTGATCTCAAGAAAAACCGTCCAAAAAACACCTGCTCCTCGGTGTTTTACGTCTTCAGACTTTGTCAACAACTGCTTTACTCTAAAGTAGAACTGAAAAGTATCTGTCTTGAATATTCCTATATTGTTTTTTTCTAGTTCAGTTTTTTGTTGTTGTTGTCTAGAGGATCGTTGAAAAGAGTTAACTATATACATATTTAATTAAATATATATTTTTAATTAGTATTACATATTTATTATATTATATTTTATTTATTATACATTCTTTACAGTACTATTTTTATATTATTAAATATTATAATATCATAATTTAAACTCCTTTTACATTTCATTAAAATCATTTTACATCTAATTCTATTATTATTTATTAGTAAAAAAAAGAAATAATAAAAAAATAACTATTGTAAATTACTGAATAAAGAATTCTCACATTATTAGTTTACTATATATATATCTGCTAATTTGGTTTTTTTTATAAACAGTTATATGAATTTTATACTAAGAA